GGTGGCAGGAGGCGGTTCCTCGTCTTCCTTGCAGCTCCCGCAAACCCTCTGTTCCCTGGAGTCTCCGCCTTCATTGCGCTCAGCCTCTGGATGTTAAGGCTCGCGCGGGCGCCAGCCGGAGCCAGAAGTGACGACAGCCCCCACCCATCACCTCCCCAAGGCGGCGCCCGGGCCACCAAGGCTGAAGCGCATTTGGAGCGCGAGCTGGAGCCTGAGACGGGGCCCGCCGGAGCCCAGGTGGCTTCCAGCCCAAGAGAAAGACGCACTTGAGTGATCGCTTGGAGCAAACTTGTCACTCGCAACCTCGGGCATCGGAGAGGTGAGAGATTCCGGCTGCGCCCCTCTCCTCCCCACTAAGGCCGGGGCCCTGCCACCCATCCCCTCGCGGGGGAGAGCCGGGGAGTGCGCCGCCTGCTCCTGGTCTCCTCCCCAAAGGTTCTCTGCGGCGCTGCGGCCGCACTCCCGGGGAGCAACCTGGGAGTTTGCCTTTTTGTCTTAGTATCCGTTGGTCTTAGTCTCTGTGACTGTCTCTCTCACCCTCTGTGAATCTGTCTCCGTTTCCTATGGGAACTCTGCAATTGTACGGGTGTCTGTGGGTCTGGGAATCCTCGCTCAATTTCCCCTTCTCCCCCACCCGTAGTCGCACTGAGGGCTGAGCTCCACCCCCCTTCCCAGGCCCCAGCCTCCAGCCTTTTTGGCCGCCGGATTTGTAGACCCTGCAGACAGGCAGCAGGACCCCCACGGAGACCTCCCTCAGTGAACCCCGACCTCAGCCCCAGCTGGTGTTGCTTTTATCTCTCGGGGTCTTGTGCACATAAAGTTGGTCCTGTGCTCTCTTTCTCGCCAGCCGGGTTTCTGCCCATCCTTTTCGGACTCTTTCTCCCCTCGCCTCCCTCCAGGACCCCGAAGCGAGTAGCTCCAGCTCAAACTGGCCCATTTGAACCTCTGGAGCGTGGAAGGGGAGAAGGGCGCTGGACATGAGCGAGAACTGAATGGATGACCGGGCTGCTGCCCCGACAGCGCCGCGCAGTGGCCAAAGCTCGGGTATGCGAGTCCAGAGATCCAGCTGTGCTCTTCTGTCCCGAGGCTGTGACCCTCATTAGGTAACTTCCCCTTCCGAGCCTCAGTTTCTTAGCCCGCATAGCAGTTAAGAGCAGGGACCCTAGAGTCAGGCTGCTGGGATTCCAATCCTGGCTCCACTATTGACCCCTCTGTCACCTTGGGCAAGTTTCTTAAACTCGTTGTGCATCCATTTCCTCTATAAAAATGAGGTTAAAAAAAAAAAAAAAAAAAAACCCTCCTACCTCATGATAACTATGTAAGAGTAGCCATATTCTAGGCTGTTTATGAAGAGGATATTGAGAGCACTTTGGGGATCCTTGGGGCCCTGTTCTCTGAAAGAGAAAGGGTTTAGTCTCCCACCTGGATCTCCAGTCACTGGACTGAATTAGGTCCCACAGGTACTGTGAGCAGAGTAGGAGAGAATTTGCAGCCCCAATGGGTTGTATCTCGGCAGGGTAGATGTGAGAGTAAATGAATTCTCTCTTTCATCCAGTCTATGGAATAGTCTAGTGTTAATCCCACTCTCCCATTCCAAAGATGGGAGAGGTTACAGAGGCCCAAAGATGGGGGAAAGAACTCACCCATGCTCCTAAAATGCAACCCTTGTCCCGGAGTCCTCACAATAGAGTTCTTCATCCTCCCAAGCTAAGAGCAGAAGAGGGTGGAAGGCAGGTCTGGCTGCTCATATCCTGTGAGAGCAAGTCTTCTTGGCCCCCTCTTACCAAGGGGATCCACTTAAGGTGCAGGGTCTGCTTAAACAGACCGTTCTTGCAAAAAAGAGAAGAGGTCCAGTCCTCAAATTATAGACAGCAAATTGGACAGGGACCAGTGGCCCTGGAATTGGAATTTCCTGGGTGACAGAGACCTCCAGAAAAAAAAAAAGATTTTGGAGAGAAGTTTCTTGCATGAGTCCAGGGAAACTCAAAAACCTATGGTTGCTAGATTTAGCATGTTAATTTTATCTAGCAACCCTACACATACCTCAAGCTTGCTCTTTACTATCTGGAGATCTCACACACTCCTAGCACCCCACTCACAGATACCCCACACCATTGACTACACACCAACTCCAACCCAGTGCAGCTCTGCTAGTGTCTAAATAAATGGAGAGAAAAACAGTATTGGAATCACCCAACTCCATTTCACCTTGTGAATGTCTTTATTTCTAAAAGGGTAAATGGGAACCAGCAGCTGTCTTCCTTGCCAGTACTCTCTTGATTCCCCAGTCTCCAGTTCCCTGCCCAGAGGTTAGACTGGGGTTCTAGACATTTGCTGCCCAAATGTCCTGGTTCTAATGCTCCAGGCAAGACAATCTACCAAGCAGCTGCAGCTGCCAGCCCCTGCCTCTGCCTGGCCTGGCTGCACATTCGCTGCTACAGAGACCCACATTGGGGAAAGGGAATACATAACCCCCAGCCTCTGTTCTGCAGGGCATAGCACTATCTTAAAGAACCATCCAGACCCTTCACACACACTTTTACAGAAGAGGAAACCGAGGCCCAGGAGATCATGTTACTTGCCAGACTTTTGAGGGGCCATAGGTTGGGGTGGACCCAGGTATCCAGGCTCCCAGCTCAGACCTCATCTATTTACTCAAATAGTTCTGCTTCCCTCACTGAGCTCCATTCTTGCCTGGGGAAGGGGCTTCTGGTAGCCTCTCATCCCTTCCAAAGCTCTAGCCCCATTTGTTTTAAACAGTGCTAGGAGTAGGTGCACTGGAGGCTGGAAGAAGGGCAACCTGGTTTGGCTTCCTTGGCTTCTCCTCTGGCCTCTGCCTTTCCAGCCTGCAGGTTCAGCCTCGTGGATGTCTTCGGGCCCCTTCTGAGTCTGTCGCTGCCCCTGTGAAAACCTAGGTTCCAGCACTCATGCCTGCAGCAGCCTCCAGGAAAAGGGAGGCTACATACAGGCTCTGCGGCTCTTGGTTACAATGTCTCTGGAGGTGCCCAACCTCTTAACCGCCTCACTGCCTGGCCACCTCCCTCCAGCAGCCCAGAGCAATTGAGAGGAAGCGCGGGGCGGGGGGAGGGGGGAGATATACCAGGGGATGCCTGTTCGGAGCTTTCCACACCAAAATGTTCGGATAACATGGGAGAAGTTGTTGAGTGTTATTGCGAAGTATGTGTTGCTATCGGTGGCGTCCATGCCGTCTCTCCCTCACCTTTCGTGGTCCCTGTAGACATGCTGTTCTCCTCAGCTCGGGGAAAGGAGAGCCCTGGCGATTGTGCGAAAATAATTGTCAATCGCGAAACTGGTGGAGAGCGGCACTGGCTAGATGCAGAATTTGTCCCAAGACGCGGCGCAGAGCAATCGCACGCGGCCTTACAAGAGTCAGAGCTCGGCGAGCGCCCGGGACTGCCCCTTGTTGCAGCCGCGCTGCAAAGGGAGGCCTGAGCTGGCCGGGGGGCACCACTCCCGCAGCTTCTCTAATTTTGTGCACAAAATGGGTCAGCCTCGGGGAAATCAGCGGCGAGGCCGGCGCTAGCCCCCTCTTTCCCACTCCCCACGGGGCCGCGGCTCTGGAATGAGGCAGTTGTTTGGCCTCAGCTGGTACATCTCTCGAACCCTTTCTCCACCTGGGTCTTCGTCTGCTCAGGACCGATCGGCTCCTTTGGCCTGGTGGGAGGCATGAGACTCCAGATCGTGTGACCCGCAGGGGACCTCCCTGACGACAGGGCTCCCCGTGCACAGAAAGATCAGGGGCTCCAGAGTAGGCTCCTCCACCCCCGCGGCCCACCGGCCGACCCCTATGCCCCCTCAGCGCGGCGAAGTTCGAGAGCAGGAATTTTCCATCCTCCTCTCCTTCCATTACGCCTGGCCAAGGTCCCCTCTGGGCCTCATCCATGCCCCCCTCCCCGGACTACGTGGTGGGGGGCTCGCTTGAGGACCCTGCGCCCCGAGCAGTGCGCGGCGGTTGAGAGCAGAGCGAGCTGTGGAGCCTGTCGACTCCCGTTCGTGGGAAGAGGGTTGCGGGCTCAGGAGAAGGTGACACGGCGCCGGCTCGGCAGAGGCGCGCAGTACGCGGCGACCGCGGTAGGGCAGGCTCCACATGTTTGAGAGCAGAGATGCGGCTGGGGCCGGGGCAATGGGGGACGCTTCCAGGTGTGTTGAGGGGGCCTCAGGGTGCGCTCTGTGGGTTCCTCGGTCCCCGGGTCCGAGGCTATTTTTCTCTGGCGTCCGAGCGACAGTGGCTCTCCGTGGCCGGGTACGCCCCTGAGCGACGGGCGCCTGTCCTGCATCCCCCCCGTCCAGACTTCACGCTCTGTGCCCTTAAAGCCGGAATGACCCGGGACTGCCCGGAAGGCTCGCCATCCAGGCCCACAGCTTTACCCCAGATCCCGAAGTGGCGCGATCTGGCGGGAACTGCAGACCCGCTCCTGACCAGCAGCGAGACCCCGGCAGAGGACGATTATGTGCGAGGGTGCGCGCCTGGGTAGGGGTCTGTGACTGTGGCGGGGAGAGGAGGAGTGCCTACAAAGATCGCGCTACGGGACAGCCAGGAAGGCTGGAGCAGCGGCCTCCTTCCTCCCTTATATGCTGCCTGCTAGAGCAGTGGCACCTCGGGAAGGGGACTCTCTTCCGGGGACCTGTGTTGGGACAAGACAGGAGGGAGAGCACATAACCGTACGACCCGGTCCCGGCAGTGCCGTGCGCACACACAGGCCATCGCGTTTAACCTTTCTGAGTCCGAGACAGGGTAACTGATGAGGCCGTAAGTCCCCGCGTGGGCGGGGAAATATTGCTGGGTCCTGCGTCCTCTGGGGCGGATGCGGAGCCGCATCAGCCTCGTAAAAGCAGAGCAAGAGGACCAGCGGGAGTCCTGGTCTCACCGTGGGGACGCTCGTGATGGATTCCTGGGGAACAGCGACCTCTGGAGGAGCCTCGCATCCACGCAAAGAGTCAGGAACTGGATGACAAGGTCTGAGACCAAAGCACCTTTTCCTCATCCCACCCCAATTTTACCTCTTTGGCAAGTCATTCAAAGACTCACAGTCTCCGGACTCCACTCTGCTCCTTTCCCAACCTGTACCCATGCTTCAAATCCCTGCTCAAATCCTGCCTTCTCTAGAAAGAAGCCTTCTTGGGAGCCCAACCCACCTTTTCCTGCTCTGAGCTCCTCAGGACCTAACGCCTGCACCCTCGGCCCCAGTGCACACCGCAGTGCACAACGGACCTGTTCCCCACCCCGCGCTTCTCCCAAGCGACGTTAATCCACTCCACCCCTTGCGTTCATTGCCATGTTGGGTGTACTGCTGACCCCCCGCCCCCCAGTGACGTCATTTATCCCCAAATTGGTAGATTTGTTTTGTTTTTGTTTTTGACTGATAAGGGGATTGCAACCCTCAGCACGGTGCGGTCTGCACCACGCTCAGCCACTGAGCGCACCGGCCATCCCTACATAGGATCCGAACCTGCGGCCTGCCGCGCTACCACAGCCGCACTCTCCCGAGTGAGCCACGGGGCCGGCCCCAAATTGGTAGATTTTTTAAAGCTCATTTCTCAAATGGGTAAACTGACCCAGAGAAAGGGCTGACTTGCCCAAGGTCAGATAGCAAATTGGTAGCAGAGGTGGAACTAGAACCTTATATCCCGTTTCCCAGCCCAGGGCCCTCTCCATCTTTCCTGGTCTGGGAGCAGCTAACTTGGGGGAGTACTTATTTTGATGGGAGAGGCTTGAATGGGGGAGTTTTGGCATAGGAGAAAGGAAATGCTGGAGGGAACTAGAAGGATGGTCACTGCTCCAGGATGGTGCTGGGAAGTCAGACCCTTCTTTCCCCTACCCCAGCCCAGATCAAGCTATTTTGAAGGTCTCCAAATTCAGAGGTTGGCTGAATGTTGCCCATCAATAGGTGGGCAAGGCTGGAGGCTGGGAACAGACTCAACTCAGGCAAAAGCCACCCTCTCCTATCCACCCCCCAAGGGGGGAGGGGCTAAGAAACCTTTCCTGCTGTTACACACCCTGAGGGTACTGCTGATCAACAGGAGGAGGCCTTCTGGCGCTTGCAATTGTAGAGGTAAGGGAGAAACTGGGAGGGTGGTTTAC